CTGCCACGTCTAATAAGCCACTTCAATTTGGGGGGGGGGGGGGGCACAAAGGTCACTAGAAGCTGCACGTCCTTTTTTCAAATTTGCCTTCTGGGTCCAAAGAAAAGAGATTTTCTTAAGGGCAAGAAACTTAAGCTGAGGGGAGCAATAGGGGCCCCCTGCCTCTTTCTTGTTCGTCCCATTCAACCAACACGTGAACCAGACAAGGACAATGTTTCTCAGCCTCAACAACTTTTAAGTTGTGTGGATGGACTTCATCTTCCAGAATTCCCTATGCTGACTGGGGAATTCTGGGAGTTGAAGTCCATGTACCTGAAGGTTGCTGGGGTTGAGAACTGTTGGACTAGGAAACGTTCCTGCGAAAGGCTGAAGAGCAAAGAGTCCAGTGCTCTCTGTGGGGAATTCTGACCCACCGACACAGATTCCCCACAGATTCCAGGTGGAGGGTTTCCTTCTGGTTTGGAAAAGAAAGCAGGCCAAAGCCAACCGTCCCCAAGAAGCTGCCCTGACAGTTTCCTGGAAGAGAATCAGTTCCACGTTTTGTGAGCCGGAAGGGAGGGCAGGTGGTTTTTTTCCCTACCCACCAAATTATCCCCCTTTAGCTAAACTGGCAGCCTTTAGTTGAGGGGGCTGTGCAGTTGAGGGGGGCAGAGCAGGCCGTGCCCCACCAGCCAGCCCTAAGACTTTCCCTTCCCCCTTTTTCATTCCAGGCAACCGTCCTCACCCTTAATTAATTAATTAATCCGTGCTTTTGAATGCATGCACTTTGCACTGAAAGGCACCAGCTAACCCATACAAACGGAGGCCTTTACACCATGCAATTGTGGTTGGGTGCTGCCCAGAGTTGCTTAAGATAAGCAGCCATACAAATCTTTTTCAATCAATAAAATTAAATGAATAAATCTAGCTTTGGGGGTGGAAAAGATGAAAAGCTGCTTTTCCTTTTCACCTAGAAGTAAGGGACCCATCGTCCTCTGCTCCACCCCCACCCCCCAGCGCCCCCACACTGACCGAAAGGCTCCCGTCCAAAGCGTGCCTGGCCCTTGCTGTCTGCTCTGATTGGTTGACCTCCTACCACATTTATACAACTGTCCACCTCACAAACCGTTACTATCTTGGGCAGCATACAAGATTAAAAACAATAGATATAAAAAAAAGAGCCACTGTTAAAATTTAACCCAGACATTATTTAAAAAGAAAACTCTGTACAACACAGGAGAGAGCCAGTCTCAGCCCCACGATGAAGCCAGGGTAGCATTTCACCCGCCCCCTGCCCCGCCCCCGGCCTGGACGGCCCCCCTGAACCTCAGCAGGGACGGGGCTAGCCTCACTTGCGGGGAGGGTTGGGGGGAAGGGTGTTCAATGAGGAGGGAGGAGCCAGAAGGAGCCAAGTTCTTCTTCTCCCCACCGCTGCCCAAGCAGCAGCCGCAGCAGCAGCAGCAGCAGGCACAGCTTCTGGGCACCAGCACCTTCCCAGGGGCTCCTCTGCAGTCAGACCCCTCCCCATTTCCCCTCCACTTGTTCTTGAGGCAGCAGTGCCACCTAGTGCTCGCCTGGCCAGAAATGGGGGAGGGATCGGGGGGGGGGGTGAGCACCACACTGGTGTTGGCTCAAGTCAGGCCAGTCTCCCTTGACCGTCTCTGGGAGCCAGCAGGTGTAAGTCGGGCCCAACAGGAGGCTGTGCCTGCCTCGGCTTCTGCAGAGCCCACCTGAATCCTTCGCCGCTTCGAGAAATGCTGACCTCTGAATGCAGTGACACCACATGGCTTTTAAAACGGAATTATTATCCGGCAGGCAACAAGCAATGGACGCCTTTCAGCTCAATTGATGCAGGTCCTTTTGCATTTCTAAACAAACAACACCCCCCACCCCGCCCATCAGGGGGAGGCAAGACCTAAAGCAAGCCTGGCCCAGCCCTTCCCCCAGGCCGAGGGATTGAAGCAAGGCCCCCTGGCCCTCCAGGGTGGGGGATTCGCCTAGCAAGGCCCCGGGGATGCCCCTGGCCAAGGACTGGTTTAGGCGCCAGCTTGCAGGGCTGAGAGCTGTGAGGAAGCCTTGGGCTCCTCTTGGCACACGGAGGTCCAGGGTTCAGCCCCTCCCAAGCCCAAAGGTGGGTTCTCCCTGCAAGGCGAGCAAAGAGGGGTTGGGATTCAGCAGCACAGTTGGGGCAGGACCAGTGCTTGGAAGGAAATCATCATTAAGGATCATACGATTTAAAATATCCCTTTACCCAATGAAAGGCCACCTATGAACTCTATTCCACTCAATGAAGTCTCTCTCTCTCTGACACACAAACACACACACACACACACACACACACACACACACACACACACACAGGCTCTTCTGGTCCTCTGGCCCCCCAACTGGAAAAGAATTGGCATCTCACCCATGGGACTTTAAGAAGCCTCCCTTCCCAGCCCCTGAGGGGAGTGTCCCAACAGAAGAGATCTCTCTAGCTCAGGCTTGTTCTGGGGGGGTTTGGTGCTCTCCGAGCTGGGCTGTTTTCCTGCAGATGCACTGATCCTGTTACCGACCCGGGTAATGAAAGGTTTTCAAGCAAATAGCCCAGCTCAGAGAGCACCCACCATGTCCACCCTGCTCGCCCAACGGGCTCCTCGCCAGCTACGCATCCCCCCCCCCCCCCCCAGTCCTTTCTGAAGCAGAGAAGGCAATCCAGGAAAATGCTGGCTAGGATGGGAAGATCTCGCAATCAGCGCCTGGTGAGAAGAGGAGAGAGATGGACCCTTTATTCTTCTGTTGTGTTCTTACGCAGAGACCCACAACTTCTGAGGCTGTAACTTATCAAGACATTCACGAAAAATGGGGACTGGTGTTAAATCTCCTATTGCAGCTGCAGCTAACAAGCGAATTCAGACTGGAAGAAACTGCCTGCAAACTTACAATCACACAACTCTTAGCTGAGCAACAAGACCCTACTCCAGTTATTTGAGAAATCCCAGATTTTCAGGCATCTTTCTGTGTTGAGTAGCAATCCTAAGTACTAATTTCTGCTTTCATATTCAGCATGCTTCTTATTGTTAAAAAGCCAGTTTGGTGTAGGGACTAAGACACGAGGCTAGAAACTGGCAGCCCCTGAATTCTATTCCTGCCTTAGTAGGCACCAAGCCAGACATAGACGGCCTTGTGTTGGGCCAGTCACTCTCTCTCAGCCCTAGGAAGGAGCCAACAGCAAACCAACTTCTGAAAAGCCTTGTCCAGAAAACTGCTAGTCCAGGAAGTTGCCAGGAGTCAACATGGGCTCAAAGGTCCCTCTCTGAGCCTTTTAGCATTTGAGGATGCCTATTCTTTCAGTGAAACATTCGTCCTTTGGCTTATTCCATTGTGCCAGTTTTTTCCCTGCCTGCCATGTGGTGGGTAGCGATGGGCCAGGGGAGTGGAAGGAGTGGCTCACAGATGAATTACACAGCGCAGGCACAGTGCTGCCTGTAGGTGCAGCCCAAGGGGGCTGTTCCCAGTAAAGCACGTCCTACATCAAGGCTATCACACAAGCCTCAACTGTCAGGGTAGACGCGGTTGGGAAAGGCAGTCTTGCCTTCTCCAGTTCAAGGGAAGCAGGCAAAGAGCTCCTGGCTCCAGCCCAGAAAAACACAGAGCTGCCAAGTCTACTCTTGGGGGGTGCACTGCTGGTTGCTGACCTCCCCCCTCCCTCAACACAGGCCAGATGCCTTGTATTCCAGCAATAAAGGCTCCCCACTACAGCTGTATTACAGGAAGATTACTCAAGAACTTTTGACATGCCTCTCAAGACCCTTGCACAGCAGCTCAACCGTCCGCCCCCCACTATTCAGATACAAGATGACACTGCAAGTTAAAGCCATTCCTTAGAACCAAATATTGAAAAAACTCCCATGTCAGTGTACAAGATATAACTTAGATGAACTAAGGAGAGCAGAGATTTATTTATTCAGTCTCTGCATCCACCCAGCGCAACCAAGGGGTTCTGTGGATTAGGAAGGCATATAGAATCACCTGTATCCTTATTATGATGACGATTATCCTGTTGCTTTGAATGTACACTGAGAGCTATTGCACTGGAGTCAAATATAGCATTCTACTCCACTCTCTATTCTCTTCTGTGGACAAGATGGGTGGCACCCAAATTGTTTAATAAATAATCCATATAATTATTTAATAAATAATCCAATAGTCCATGTCTTTGCTGCAATGATTTGGCAATGGCCTTGACAAATCACACCTTCTCAAGGCTTAACTCCATGGTACCAGCTGTGAAATGGGAACAACCATTTATCTTGCTCAGTTCCATGGCTTTTTTGCCCAATGGAAGCATTATAGGCCTCGCGTTCTCTTACAACAAAATTATCTCTGTATCTCAGAAAATCAAAGGAAGCCAAAACACAAAAGTTAAGAATGAACCTGAAGGCAACCACAATATTAGCATGCTGTCCATGTCCCCTCTGGAGATCCCTATGGCTCCCATCCTGAAGGCCCTGGAGGGAAAAACGGTTTCCCCAGTCCTCTCTGATAGACAAGCCGCTGTACAAGGGTTGGGACAATGAGATCTTGCTTCCCTATTTATATTCTGTTGTGAGCCTTTTGTTTATCCAGCGGTTTCTTTCATATTATCACAGTTGTTTTACAATTGGGAAGTTCTAACAAATGAACTATATGCATACATAAATAATAAGGTGCCGTTATACAACGTCCCAGGACGTTAAGGGTAACAAGACTACTCTGCAGCCTGTGGGATGGCAGCCACCCCTTCCCCAAAACACAGCACGCCCATTGTTCACCCACCACACACAGCCAGGCAACTTCACCTAAAGGAAAGGTCCCTTCCCGACAACCTCAGGGATGATCTGGAGCTCCAAACAGAAGCAGACGCAATGAGTGAATCACTAACGGGAAAGCTGCTTATTTTCCCTGACCTGAAAGGTGATTAATTGGCCGGACAAGCCACCTCAGGCCTCCTCCTCCTCCTCCTCCTCCTCCCCTCCAGAGCAAAGCCGGGACCTTACCTGGAAATGAAGGATAATCGTCCAGATCAGACCCAGGGTAAGTTTCGGGTTCCCATCGGTGATGTCGTCATTACGAATGTTCACCAGTTTCACCTGGAAATGGGATCAAAGAGGAAAACGAGGCAGAGTCAAAGGGAGCGCTCCAGCAGCTGTCCATTCCTAGCGCAGCCCATCCGAGGTTGGGTGTCGGGTGAAGCATCTGATCTCCACACAAATCATGGGAATCGGGTCATTTATGCAACAGAGCCATCACGAAACCAACGACGGACATCCGTTCTCCTCCTGAACGTGTGGTTGCAGCATTCAATGCCTAACTCAGGCATTTATCAAAAATGCTCCAGGCAATAGTGACAATCATTATGGGGGTCCACGGTGTCCCCTCAACTTAAACCCACCCAAGTAAGTAGCAACAAACACTGCATGCTGGTTTTTCTTTGCCAACAGTCTCCTATTCAGGCCACTTTGGTGCAAGGGAGACCAAGAGAGGCCGGGGGAGGAACTGGGGGGAGAGGCTCAATTGCACTCATCTAAAGAAAGGTGCTAAACAAAGCGGAAGGGCCTTATCAAAAGCCAGTCCGTGGCTTGTTCTGGATCTCTTAAATCAGAGTCAGAAATCAAGAGCAACGCCAACTTAAGCTCACCATTAATAAACTCCGTCTCATCAACCCAAAGCAGCTGGGATATTTATCATGGGTCCTTCTGAATTCTGAGCTTTTTCATCCTGAAAAATGATTGATCTTTCACGGATCTGCTTACAATATTAGTAGCCGTTTGGAAGTGTGTTGGTTTTTTTCACTCATATTCACCTTGTCAGCAAATACAGCTCTTGTTGTCAGACTGTTTTAAAACTTGCTTCATCTGTTTGCCTTCAAAATATCTCAAGATATTCCAATGTACACAGAAATAATTGTCAGACCCCCACATGGGGCTACCCTTCAAGACCAGCCAGAAGCTACAGCTGGCCCCCAATGTAGCAGCATAAGCAGCAATGGGCCCCTTTCAGCCTGCCCATGCGCCACCACTGCTACGTAGTTGGCTTCAGAATGAGATTGAAGCTGCTGGACATCACCTCAAAAATGACTTAGTCACTCATAAATGACTTAGATGAGGGAACAGAAGGGGAACTCATCAAATTTGCAGATGATACTAAACTGCCAGGAATAGCCAACAATCCAGAAGACAAGCTCAGGATCCAAACAGATCTTAACAAACTTGAACACTGGGCCCTATCCAACAAAATGAATTTTAATGTGGAGAAAAGCAAAACTTTACATTTAGGCAGGAAAAATCAAATGTAGAAGTACAGATTAGATAGATACAGATATAGATAAAGATTAACAGAGTTGGAAGGGACCTTGTAAGTCATCTAGTCCAACCCTACACCATTTTTGACAGATAGTAGCCCAGTCTCTTCTTGAAAGCTTCCAGTGATGAACCCCTCACAACTTCCGAAGGAAACTTTTGTTCTATTGGTTGATTGTTCTCACTGTCAGAAAAATTCTCCTTATTTCTAGGTTGAATCTCTCCTGGGTCATTTTCCACCCATTATCTGTTGTCTGGCCAGTGCTTTGTAAAATAGCTTGACCCCCTCCCTCTCTGTGGCAGCCCCTCAAATATTGGAACACCTCTATCATGTCTCCCCTGGCCCTTCTCTTCACTAGACTAGCCAGGCCCAGATCCTGTAACCATTCATTGTATGTTTTAGCCTCCAGTCCCCTGATCATCTTGGTTGCTCTTCTCTGTACTCTTTCTAGAGTCTCAACATCTTTTTTATAATGTGGTGTCCAAAACCGGATGCAGTACTCTAGGTGTGGTCTTACTAAGGCTTTATGGAGTGGTATTAGTACCTCCCTTGATTTTGATTGTATCCCTCTGTTAATGCAACTTAGGATTGCAATAGCTTTTTTGACTGTCATCGCACACTGCTGGCTCCTATTTAGCTGCTTGTCCACTTAAGACTCCAAGATCCCTCTCCCAGTTACTGCTATTAAGCCTGGTTTCACCCAGTCTCTATATGTATACTTTGGGTTTTTCATGCCTAAGATTTTACTTTTCTCTACATTGAATTTAATGTTGTTAGATACGGCCCAGGGTTCAAATCTGTCAAGATGCGTCTGGATCTTGATTCTATCTTCTTGGCTTGTTGGCTATTCCTGTCAGTTTAGTATCACCCGCTTAGGTGAGACCTGACTCAAAAATAGTAACCGTGAGAGGGACCTTGGAGTCCTGGTGGATGATTATTTGAATATGAGCTAGCAGTGTGCAGCAGCAACCAAAACAACTAATGCAACCTGGGGAGGGCGGAGCTGGCGTCGCAACGATACGGCATGCGATCTTGGAGGTCTGAGATCACTGCCGATATCTTTGCTCCTGAACGGTCTAAACGGATCTAAACCGTCCCGAAGAGATGGTGAATGTAAAGAGCACATCCTGTCGATCCCAGGGACACTGCAAAGTCCCTGGTAGATCCAGGAGAAGCTCTTTTTGCCAGCGGCAAAGAGGCAGCCATTAAAGCTGCTGAAGTTGGGATAGCTCCGAAATGAAAGAGAACGGAAAGAGAAAGTGTGCCGGTTTGGTGAGAATTTTTTCTTTATTTTAAGATTTGAAAGGACACCCTAAGGAAAAGAAAGAATCTGTAAAAGTTTTGACAGAAGTGATTAAGCGGCGATTTTTTCCAATTGGTTAATAGAGAGTCCCTGATAAGATGCCTATGGAAATATGATTGCCTGGGTTTCCCAGTTTCCCACAGAAAGGCATGCCATCCTTTCTGCATATCGTGGCCTTCTAATATTAGTGTTCTTTTGTTGGTTAGATTCACCCATTCCTTTATCCATAGTAGGGTGGCTGCTGTATGATATATTTCCCAGTTTGGCAGGGCTAACCCTCCTCTGCTTTTCGTATCTTGTAGGGCTTTTACGTTAATCCTAGCTTTTTTCCCCTGCCAAATAAATTTCAGCGTTATCTTGTTTAATTCCATAAAAAAAAAATTATTTAATTTGATTGGAATTGTCTGGAATAAATATAGAAATTTTGGCAGAATATTCATCTTAATCAGAGCAATCCTGCCCAAGAAGGAAAGTTGTAATTTACTCCAGGAATCTAAATCTTTCTTGGATTGTTGGAGAAGTTTGTCATAGTTGTTTTCTTTTAATGATTTGCTTTGTGGAGTTAGCCAAATTCCTAAGTATTTAATTTTTTTTGTCACCTGTATTCCCATTGTTGTCTCTAGCTCTTTATTCTGGTCTCCTGTTAAATTTTTAGTCATTAATTTCATTTTTCCCCTGTTAATTTTAAATCCTGCGACTTCTCCAAATCGTTCTAGTTCTTCTAATAAGTGATGTCCTTTTTCTATGGGCTCCTCCAGAAAAAAACCCAAATCATCAGCGAAGGCTTGTACTTTATACTCTTCTGATTTGATCCTCAGTCCTCTAATTCTCGTATTTTGCCTAATGTACACCAAAAGAGATTCTAGGGCGAATATGAAAAGCCGAGGGGAGAGAGGGCAACCCTGTCTTACCCCTTTTTCTATTTTTATCGGGCCAGTTTGTTCCCCATTTATTAGAATATTTGCCTGTTGGGTGTGGTAAATTGTAGTGACAACGTTTTTGAATCTGGTGCCGAGGTTCATATTATATATTTTTTGAATTAAGAAATGCCAATTTAAATTGTCGAATGCTTTTTCAGCATCCAAAAACATAAATGCAAATTGTTTTTCCGGATGGGCTTCCTATAATTCTGAAATGTCTATCACTGTTCTTAAATTATTCTTAATTTGTCGAAATGGGAGAAATCCATTTTGATCTTCATGGATATGTGTGTTTAAAACCTGTTTTAATCTATTGGCTATTATAGAAGAGACTAGTTTGTAATCTGCATTCAGGAGCGAAATTGGTCTATAATTATTAATAAGTCTATGGTCTAGGTCCTCCTTCAGGATCAGCGAAATTAAGGCTCCCCTCCACGAGTCCGGCATCTTGGCTGCTAAGAGTACCTCATTAAATACTTTCAGCATCAGTGGTCCAATTTGTTCTATGATTGTTTTGTAAAGTTCTACAGGTATCCCATCCGGTCCTGGCTCTTTATTGTTACTTTGCTTCTCTATTGCTGACTTCAGTTCGGACCATGTTATATTTTTGTTTAATAATTCTATCTCTTCCTCTCCAATTGCTTTATTATTCGCTTCCTCTAGGTATTTCATTATTTTGTCCTCACAGACTTCTTCTTTTTTGTATAATTTCCCAAAGTATTTAAAAGTGATCTCTTTTTTCTTCTCTATCTCCTCTTGCAAATTGCCCCTCTCGTCCATTAATTGGTGTATCAATCTTTTTTCTTTCATTTTCTTAAGTTTGTGGGCTAACCATCTCCCTGGCTTGTTTGCATGCTCAAAGTAGATTTGTTTAGTCATTTTCAGACTAATCTCCAATTTTTCTTGTTCCAGTAAATTTAGTTTGTGTTTAGTTGTTGTTAACTGGTTCTGTATTCTTTGGTTTTTGGGGTTCTTTTGTAGTTGGGTTTCTAAATCCTTAATTTCTTGTTGTAGGTTACTTTGTTGGGAATACTTTCTTTTATTTCTCATAGCATTGTAAGAGATTGTTATTCCTCTTATAAATGCCTTCAATGTGTCCCATATATTTTGTTTCGAAGTTAGTTCATTATTATTTTCCTTTAAGAAGAAGTTCAGTTCTTCTTTCAGTTTATTAGTATATTCTTCTTCTTTTATTAAGTGAGTGTTAAGAGTCCATCTTTTCTTTGGTTTTCTTCTACCTCTCCAGATTATTTGAATTGGGTTGTGGTCAGCCCAGTCATTTGGTAAGATTTCGCTATCTTTGATTTCATTAATTAATTCACCGTTTATCCAAGCCATATCTATTCTTGTCCAAATTTTGTGTGGGTTAGAATAATAAGTAAACTGTTCTTTTTGGGGGTTTAGTTTTCTCCAGATATCTACCAGATTCATTTCATTCATCATATCCTTACATGGCTTCGAAAATTCTCTTTTTCCTTTTTTGTTCTTACTCATGTTACTATGATCCTTCCAGTAGTCAGCAATAGAGTTAAAATCGCCAATCAGACAAATATTGCCTTTTTCGAAA